CCAAAAGACAAACAACAAATGTTGGCTAAGATGTGGAGAAAGGGGAATCCTCCTACACTGCTGGTGGGAATGTAAATTGGTTCAACCATTGTGGAAAGCAGTATGGAGGTTCCTCAAAAAACTCAAAATAGAAATACCACTTAACCCAAGAAATCCACTTGTAGGAATATACCCTAAGAATGCAGCAGCCCAGTTTGAAAAAGACTTATGCACCCCTATGTTTATCGCAGCACTATTTACAGTAGCCAAGAAATGGAAGCAACCTAAGTGTCTGTCAGTAGATGAATGGATAAAGAAGATGTGGTACACATACACAATGCTATATTATTCAGCCATAAGAAGAAAACAAATCCTACCATTTGCAACAACATGGATGGAGCTAGAGGGTATTCCGCTCAGTGAAATAAGCCAGGTGGAGAAAGACATGTATCAAATGATTTTACTCATATGTGGAGTATTAGAACAAAGAAAAAAACTGAAGGAGCAAAACACCTGAAGACTAATCATGCTGGAGCTCCAGTCTCAAATTTCCAGCCTCGAGAAATGTGCACAATAAATTTCTCCTTATAAACAGTAATTTATAGTACTTATAATATACATTTGTATTTATTGTCTATTATATTTGTAATAAATTTATATTCATTATAAAATATAATGTATAACTTATAATACATCTATAATTTATAACAAATGCTGTGTTATTTTGTTATAGCAGCCCAAACCAAGACAGGTTTTCAGAGTAACAATGTTTTAATGATACTGTGAGAGTTTTACCTTTTACCCTGACAAATCTTTTATCTTTTAAAAAACTTTTCACATTATTTTTTCCAGTTTCATTGAGATATAATTAACTATCTTTTTTATTCAGACCCTGTGATTGAATTAAGCATTTTCAGCATTCCTTACTTTTTTGTGCCCTCCCATATTCTAACTGTAAGTTAGACGCCTTCTCAAGCTTTGCTTCAAACATTTGAGATGCTGTCCTTGTCTCCACTCTTGCCAGTTTTCTCCTGAATTCTTCAGTGCTCAGTTTAACAACAAAAGCTCATGTTAAGCATCACACAGAGCATGGGAGAACTGCTGAAGAATTTTCTCAGAAGCACAATTCCTGGGCTCATATGCTTCAGTCTCTTGCTGTTCCTTCTTTTCTCTCCTTTTCCCATTTGTAGTTGATATGCTTCCCAAAGTATTTCCAGTGTTCCAATCTTTGCCCTTTCCAGGCTCAAGATTAGAACCACAGTCATTCTCCATTTGTAACAGGACAAAACAGGAATAGGTGGTGGGAACAGTACTAAGTGCCTCAGAGGCCATTGTAAAGATTTTTCTTTTGAAATACTTCTGTCAAGAAGAAGTCATTCATGAATAAAAGCCATATTTCACCCAGAGGCTAAGTTAGATGCTCCAAAATGTATTCTTCCAACATACACAGACAACAATATAGGGGTGGGTGAGACCTAACTCTGAGAAGAGTAGCAGCCCCTAAAACCTGTCACTCAAGGGCCCTGTGGCTAGGTTTGCCCTGGCGGGTCTCTCTGCTGCAGCCATGGCCCAGGTGCCAGGGCGTGCGGTCTGATTCAGGTCCCCCAGGCTGAATCCCCAAAAGCCAGCTGGCAGAGCAGATACACTGCTTTAGGGGCTCTGGAGTCAGCACCTGCCTACATTGTCCTTTATGACCCAGCCTCCGAAGTCATATGCTTTCATTTCCAACTACAGGCTCAACAAGATTCAAGAGGAGGAACTGGCTTTCTCTCCTCCTCAAAGTCATACTGAAAGAACATGTGTGAGATGGGAAGATCTTGTGATTATTTGGAAAAAATAAGCAGCCACAACACTCTTGCCAGAAGCAAGTGTGTGGGAGATACAATTTTTCTGCCCTTGATTTTGGATTTGGCCATGTGACTTGCCTTGGCCAAGGAGCCAGCTTCCATCTGGGAATTTCTTACGATTCTTGCCTTAGAACCTCGAGCTGCAAAGTAAGATGTCTGAGGCTACCATGCTGGTTAAGGCGACCAGACTAGACCCATGGAAAGACCACATGGAGAAACTCTGGTTTACATGGAATAAGAGAGATGTCCAGCCAGCTCCCAGTTGCTTCTGGAACTCCACACTGTTCCAGGTTCAACTATCATGAAAAACCTGAACTGTCCAGCCAGTCTGTTTCTGAACTCCTGACCCAGAGGAACAATGGAAGATAATAAATGATAGGTGGTGTTTAAAACCATTAAAGTAGAGAGACTGAATGTAAAGATAATTCCAGCTCATACATGACACATGACAAAGAACTCTGACCCATAAACTCTGCAGCAGCCAACTGGTTTTCAGGAAGAAAACCGAGCTACAACCTTGGCAGCCATCAGCACGCAACACTCAGGACTGGTCGGTGACGGCCAGCTTCCCTATTTTTTTGCCTCTGCTTCCAGTTCAGGACCAACCAGGGAAAGCCATACCAATCCCCAAATCAGTCACATACGATGCACTGCTCCTAGTTAAGCCCCCTTTCGGCTTCTCTATGCCAATGACCTCCGATCAGAGTAACCCCAGAGACGGCCCTTTTGCACTCCTGCTCTCCTGAATGCCTTTGAGTCTCGTCAAACACAAGTGATGGTGGCTGTAACGCCAGTAATTTTAAACAACCCAACAATAACAAGACAAGACATTCATTACATAAATAACATGTAAAAGTAAGAAATATTGCGGGAAGAACACTTAACGTTCAACAACGATTTCGTTTTAAAAGCAGCTTAGGAAGACACAAGTATTTATATGAAATGATATAAGCTTAAGTATAGCTCTGTCTGAATGGAGAAATTATGGTTTTGTTCTTTCCTGACAGTGGACGGCGCATGGAGGACCTAGTGTTTTGGGGCTTAGGCGCCTGGCTTCTGCAAACGGGATGCTCCCAGGTGAAACTCTGAGCTCACCTGTGGTGGCCTTGTCACACCCCCGCCGCACCTTGGGGCAGGGCTTCGGGCGGGACCTAGGCCTGTGCACGGGTTTCTGGAAAATGAGGTCTCCCCGCCAGGCACCGGCACCTCTCTGCTCGCGGGCGGCGCAGGAGGGCAGAGCAGGTCTCCGCTGGGCTGCGATCCGGGAAGGCACCATGGCGGCCTGGGGCCTGAGACATACACGCGCACATCTGGAGAGGTGAGTCCCCCAATCTTACGGCCTGAGGGTGGCGGGAATAGCCAGCAGTCTTCGGTGGCAGGGAGGCGAGAAGCTCAGGTCTAGGGTAAAGGAGTTCCACAATCCCCTATTCCAGCGTGTGGGTTTTTTCCCAACACATCGAAGCAGTTCTTGGATACCAGCTGAGTGTCCTACAGTTCAACTCAATCTGATGCTGTCTAGTTATAGACATCATCCGATTCCACAGGTTAAGGGCTCAAGACTCCTCCCATCCCCCATTCAAGATGCCAATCACAGAAGTTTGGTTGCCGCCTGGGCTCCGAACAACCAGCTATAGGTTGGAGGTTCTAATAACCCCCTCCTCAGATTTGTTTAATTTGCTCAGGTTTGTTAATTTGTCACAGAATTCAGAGGAACATTTTACTTACTATATTACCAGTTTATTATAAAAGGATGTAACTCAGAAAGTGCTAGGTGGAAGAGATGCATAGAGTAAGGTATGGGGAAGGGGTGCAAAGCTCTCTAAGTGTGCCATTCTCTCTGAATCTTCACCAGCCCTGAAGCTCTCTGAACCCTTTCTTGCTTTTTATGGAGGCTTCACTACATAGACATGATTGATAAAATCATTGCCATTGGCTATTGATTCAGCCTCCAGCTCCCTCCACCCCGCTGAGGGGACAAAGTTGCCAGAGTCCCATTATCACCTGCTGTTATATTATGTTTATTATAGATAATCTATCAGCGTGGGTCTCTCTCATCAATATACACACGCCTACATACAGGGATCCTGATAATATCAGGATCCCACCTCTGGTTCCCTCCTCCTCCCCAATTCCCTCAAGTTTTTCACTCTCTGCATTTCATTTGTGCTCCTCACAGCCCCATGCCTGACTTTGGTTCCCTCTGAGTTCTGTTACAAGCATTTCACAATTTACAGTGATTCTACTTTTCCAGGTGAAGGGATATTGGAAGAGATTCTAGAAGCATGTGTGACTAAGAGAAATCTGTTAATATCTGCACCATGATAGGTCCTGGAGGTGCCTTGCAGTGGGGCTTTGGGAGAGGTGGTTAGCAGGAAGCTGTGGATATTAAAGAATGAAAGAAAAGGTAAGATCCCTCACAATTCAACAATCCAAGATAAAGTCCTGAATGCCTCCATGGCTATTTAATATCCAGAAGCCAGGCCCTCACCTCTATCAAGGCTACAGGCCTATGGGTACCAGTGAGGTTAATATAGTAAAAATTGGTAAAGGGAAACCTCACAGACATGGTGTCTGGTGGCCTGCAGGGGGCGCTCCCATGCCCATCATGCCTGCTCAATTGCAGACCCCTCAAGGAGGAGGACCCTTGTAACTACTATTTTGGCTACTTCACCACCCAGGAGGAGGAGGCAAAGGTTCCTGCCTCCAGCAATAGCTCAGCTAATGAGCAACTGTTACAACTCTGCTAATTAACAGCTACAACACATGGGACTCCCAGTATCCTCCAATGGACTTCTTACTTGGAACACTCCCCATTCTCTTCTATAAAAACCTCCTCCTTTCCTTTGTTCTCTAGACTGCCTATGGCTTTGCCATAGTTTGCTTTTTTTGATTTGCAATTCTCTTTTCCTGAACAGACCCATTTTACTGGTAAAATAACTGATGGCTTTATTTTTATTTTGTTATTAAAGTATTGGCAATAAAGAATCTTATATTGGTTTCAAATGTACAACAGAGTGGTTCAGCAGTTACCCATACTAAATCCCCACCCCCTCTAGTGTGGTTACTATCTATCAACATAGAAAAATGTTATAGAATCACTGACTATATTCTCTATGCTGTACTACCATCCCCATGACCACCTTATATTGTGATTGTGAATTATTGTGCCCCTTTATCTCCCTCCCATTCCCCTACCACCCGTGCCAACCCTTCCCACTGGTAACCACTAGTGACTTTTTAGTGTCTGAGTCTAATGCTGTTTTGTTCTGTTTATATATTCCACAAATAAGTGAAATCATATGGTATTTGTCTTTGCCTGGCTTATTTCACTGAAGAGAATACCTTCTAGCTCCATCCCTGTTGTGGCAAATGGCAGGATTTCTTTTCTTTTTATGGCTGTGTATATGAACCACATCTTCTTTATCTATTACTCATCTACTGATGGACACTTAAGTTGCTTCTGTATTTTGACTATTGCCAATTGTACAGTGATTAACATAGGGGTGTATGTATCTTTTCAAATCAGGGATTTTGTTTTCTTTGGGTAAATTCCTGGATTACTGGGTCAAATGGTACTTCTATTTTTAATTTTTGAGGAACCTCCATATTGCTTTCCACAGCGATTGCACCAATTTACATTCCTGCCCACAGTGTAGGAGGGTTCCCCTTTCTCCATATCCTGCCAGCATTTTTTATTTCTCATTCATTCGGACTGCTCTAAGGTCATATCTCATTGCGGTTTTGACTTGTATTTCCCTGATGATTAGAGCTGTGCAACATCTTTTCATGTGCCTGTTGGCCCTTTGTATTTCCTCTTTGGAGAAATGTCTGTTCAGGACCTCCACCCATTTTTTAATCAGGTTGTTTTTTGTTTCTTGAGGCATATAAGTATTTATATATTTTAGATGTTAACCCTTCATCACATGAGTCTGTTACAAGTATGTTCTCCCATACTGTAGGGTTGCCTTTTTGTTCTGCTGGTGGTGTCCTTTGTGTATTCCCACTTGTTCGTTTTTTATTTTGTTTCCCATGCCCAAGGAGATGTGTCCAGGAAAAAATTGCTCATGCTCATGTTCAAAAGATTTTTGCCTAAGTTTTCTTCTAAGTTTTATGGTTTCTTGACTTAGATTCATGTCTTTGATCCATATGGAGTTTACTTTTGTGCATAGAGTTAGACAATAGTCCAGTTTCATTCTCTTGCATGTAGCTTTCCAGTTTTCCCAACACAAGCTGTTTTAGAGGCTGTTTTTTCCCCCATTGTATATTCATGGCTCCTTTATCCCATATAATTAACCAAGTATAGGTAGGTTTATATCTGGGCTCTCTATTCTGTTCCATTGATCTATAGGTCTTTTGTTGTGCCAGTACCAAACTGTTTTGATTACTGTAGCTTTGTAGTAGAGTTTGAAGTTGGGGAGTGTCATAACCCCAGATATTCCTGTTTCTAAGGATTGCTTTGGCTCTTTATGGTCTTTTGTGGTTACATATGAGTTTTAGAACTATTCTAGTTCATTCAAAAGTGCTGTTGATATTTTGATAGGTATTGCATTGAATCTGTAATTTGCTAAGGAAAGGATGGTCATTTTGACAATATTAATTCTTCCTATCAATGAGCACAGGTTACTTTTCCATTTACTGATGTCTTCTTTAATTTGTCTCATGAGTGTCTTATGGTTTCACACTATAGGTCTTTGACCTCCTTGGTTAGGTTCCTAGTTATTTTATTCTTTTTGGTGCACTTGTAAATGGAGTTGTTTTCCTATTTCTTTTTCTGCTAGTTCATTGTTAGTATGTAGGAAAGCAACAGATTTCTGTGTATTAATTTTATGTCCTGCAAACTCTGCTGAATTCAGTTATTCTAGCAGTTTTTTGGTGGAGTTTTTAGGGTTTTCTATGTATAATATGACATTGTTACCAGCCGGAATGCTGTTTTTCCCAGGATCGTATCTAAGAGGCAACGAAGAATGAAGCCAGCAGACAAAGAGTATGGAGTAACCAGCACAGCTCTTTTAATGAGTGAAAAGAGGAAGTTCCTGCTAATCAGGAGGGGCTGGGAGAGAGGATTCCCTCAGGGCTGTGGTGTCTGGGGTTTATATTGCCTCCAGCCAGGATGAAGTCCTACTCCCCATCTCCAATCCCCAGTAGAGAACTGAACTAATGACATCACAGCTCATTCCTGTTTGGGTGAAAGCACAATGCTTAATTTGCACAGGAAATACAGTCAGAACAGCTGAGGTCTATCTAAGTATACTTTTGGAAGGCTGAATTGGATTGTGGCATGTTTTTTTGTTTTTTGAAACTTACAAGGGTTTTTAAACTTCCTGAAATTTACAAGGGCCCTGAACTTTCCCTGTGTCCTACTATCACCTGCCTCAATGTTATCTACAAAGAGTGACAGTTTAGCTTCTTCCTTACAGATTTCGGTGCCTTTTAAAATGATGTTTTGTCTGATTGCTGTGGCTAGGCCCTCCAGTACTATGTTGAATAAAAGTGGTGACAGTGGACATTCTTGTCTTATTCCTAATCTTAGAGGAAAAGCTTTTAGTTTTTTGCTATTAATAGTATCTGACAGCTTTATTTTTAAGCTTAGCAATATAGTATCAGATCTGTTTATGCCTTTTCTTAGAGACAACTTTGGAAAATTTAAGGAGGCACCTAAAAAGCCTCATTAGTCAAGATAAATATTTTAATGTATTATTTTAAAAAATCAAAATTAACTGCAAAAAAAATCCATGAACAAAACTAAAATTATACATCCTTTTTACACCTCCCCCCATCAACACTACCAGGTAAATTACCTCCAAAGAGCAACTGTCCCGTAGTCTCGAATAAAAACCCCAGGGTTTCTGGATCAGGCCGTGGGTCCTCACCATGCTATTACTACCACCAGGTACCTTTTGCTATTTGCCCCAAGTTCAGCCTCTCTCCCCACTAAATCCTGGGACACTAGACTAGAACCACTCTCACCACTAAGCAGGAAATTCGTCCAAGCCAATCCCACTCTCCCCAAAAACAGCCTTTGTGGTCCCTGTCAGTACTGGCGCATCCTCCTACCCTCCAGGATGCAAGCCGGGTGTGGCTTCCAGCCGGGAGTACCAGCCCAACATCTCCCTGCTGCCCCTTTCCTCACGTGCTTTGCCCAGGGCCACACCCACTTCAACCGGATCAGGCTCCCTGGCACATCCAGACTCTGGTTTCTGTTGTGGGAAGGGCACACAGGGTCTAGACTTGACCTGGGTGAGCCTAGCTTACCTGTGCCGCCTGAGGTCAGTGTGCATGGTCTGGCTGCCCACTTCCAGGGTGCCAGAACCACATTTCCTAGGCTCCTTGGGCATTTATTTTTTTTTAACATTTCATACAATGCTGTTCGCCCAGATCAATGGCCCTTGGAGGAGACACGTGAACCGGGAAGAAAACGTGAACCTAGAAGGATGAAAGGATGACTCAACTCTAGAAAAATGTATTAATATAATAATTTACATTAATACACCAATTTAAAAAATAAACAAAAAAGAAGACAGTATAGGACCAAGTTGGCCAATGGTTAAAAACGATTAAAGAAAACCCTGATAAAATAAAAGTAATTTTTTTATCAAAATACTCCATATTACACAAAAGTAAATTCGAAATGAATCAAAAACCTAAATGTAAGTCATGAAACCATAAAACTCTTAGAAAAAAAACATAGGCAAAAATCTCTTGGACATAAACATGAGCGACTTCTTCATGAACATATCTCCCTGGGCAAGGGAAACAAAAGCAAAAATGAACAAGTGGGACCATATCAACCTGAAAAGCTTCTGTACAGCAAAGGACACCATCAATAGAACAAAAAGGTACCCTACAGTATGGGAGAATATATTCATAAATGACAGATCTGATAAAGGGTTGACGTCCA